AAAATATTAAGTTTAATAAATTTTTCTGAAAATGAAATTATTAAATTAAAAAAAAAATATATCATATGTTAAATGTGCTTTTTATTGACAGTTCATGTGATAGTCAAATGGAATTTCTGCGTGATATAGAAGAACAAGAAGAGAAATTATATTGAGAACAAGTTGTAAAATTATCACAAAAAAATGTACTGGATGGGAGAGGCATTTATTCTCATAAAAATAGCAATGATAAAAAATTAAATAGTATTCTAAAGAAAAAGAAAAAAATAAAGGGGGTTATATATGTAGGAAGAGTTATTTGTGGTTTATCCATTTTATATTGTATCTCTTTAATTAATATTAAGCAGAATTGTAAGAATAATATATGTGCTGGTTCTCTAAATGAAGAATTTGAGGGTATGGATTCTTTTAAAAACGATGATAAAAAATAAATCCTAAATGTTAGTTTTATGGAGGATTATGATTCTAATAAATTGTTACATAATAGTAAATATACAAATAGAAGTATAACATGAAAATAGATTAAATAAAAAGAAAATCAGAAAGAATTATAAATAATGCACAATAAATTAAAATGTGAACAAATGAAATAATTTTCTAAATAAACATGTCACAAAAAATAATCATATCATAGATACGAAAATTTTATTGCAATATATAAGTGTATATTATATATGTTATACATACTGGACAATTTTATCATAAAATAATAGCTACTACCTATACAAATATGTCAGTAAATTATATTCTACCTAAATTATAAAAATAAAAAGCGTCAGAAAAATTTAAGTAATAAGCAATTTACAATATAGCGAATAACATTATACAAATAAGAACATACACGTTACCTAAACGAAACTCGGGAACCTATACCTAAACTCTAAACGCTAAATATTAAACCCTAAACCCTACTATAATAAATCACTGTGAAGTTGTGAACATATCTTAAGGAATTTTCATTATAATTAATTTTTGTAACAAGGAAAAAAACAATATACAATATATTGTTTTTGTAAATAAGAGTTAATGAATGAATATCTACATAATTCATTTATAGGATATGATGCAATTTCGTCATAATTAACAATCTGAAAAATATTATTATTGTGCTAAATAAAATGATAATAAATTATAAGATATAATTAATATATATAACATAAGAATCCTAATTCATGAATAAGTATTTTTAAGTTATAAAATTTATATATAAAATTATATTTCCTTCAAGTATTATCTTAAAATATCTGATATAAATTTCCATAAATTATTATTGCAATTCGAGGTACATATATGATATATGATTAAACAATACACTTTGAATTTTAAATATGTAGTTTTAACAAATAATAAATAAATATAGCAATATTAATAAATATTACAATATAAAAGTGAATACAACTAATTTATTTAACTTAAATATATTTTTTTATTTATTCAATAGAATATAGTTTACGTAATTTTATATTATAATCATTTTCTTTAACATAAAGGTACTATATAGTTTTAATTGATTTAATAGAAAAAAAAAAATTTAAATAAATATAATATATAAAAAGTTGAAATATAACTTCTTATATAATAAGTAAAAATGAATAATATATAATTAGTTTAACATATATTATACTTTTATATGAAGACAAGAATTATTTTAATTTCATTAAATACTTATATATTATGTAAATATGTAATAATAAATTATTACGGAATAATATTACTTAATTGATAAATAAAATTCTATATACCATATTTCATTCTAAATATATCATAGCAACTGTTCTATGGGGATATATACATTTATGATACATTATATCTATGATTAATATATATATTAATATATATCATAATAAAATAAAAAATATAATAAGCCAATACTAATAAATTTTTAATAAATAATTATTTCAGAAGATAAAATATTAAATTTAATTAAAGAACATGTAAAATATAATAATAAATCATCTTATGCAATTATATATTTAAAAATTACAATAAAATTATAGACCATAACTCTTTATTGAATTATATATATAATTTTTTTATAACTATATTAATCATATATTGGCGCAATAATTACTTTTTTAAATGCTATAAATTTATAAAATCATCTTATTTTAATCTTATTTTTTAGGAAACATGTACCCAAAATAATGAAGATTGCATACAGAGACTTTTTAATAAATTGGATATTGAGGTCGCTAATGTTAATTATTATAATTTTGAATGTTCATTCCCCAATGTTCATAAAGAAAAGGATAGTCCTGGACTTAAATTTTTTTTTCATTTATTTTTAATAATTTATTTAATATAGTTAAATACAATGACAATGTATGTGTCTGTTTCAATGCATGGATAAGCAAAAGAGAAAGGGATTTTAGGAGCCATGGTATAATAAATGGTGATATGGAATTATGGACAGAATATATGAAAAATATTCATGAATTAGTAAAATCAATGGCGCATGGTTCTTCCCAAGATAATTTTTGTAAATTGGATTATACTGAATCTGAATGTAAATTACCAACAAAATTACAAAGTACTTCATACGATATTAAAGAAACAAGTACAGGAACAGGTACAGAATTCCAAAACAGGTCTAACTCTTCTTTTTCTTCACCAATGAAATATGTGTTTTCCGTCTGTTTTACACTGTGTATAACACTGCTCTTTATGTATATTTTTATAATTAATGTAATGTAAAAATTATTATATAAAA